ATTTCTATCTGGCTCCTGCAATCAGGGGCGGCTGGAATGGCGCTGCTGCTAGCACCTGGCCTTGGCTAGGAGTGGCTCCAGGTTGCGAGTCCGCTTCTGTCTGCACTGTTCTCATTCTTCCCAGTCTGGTAGGCTCTCAAGATGGAGGATTCCTCCTGGTTGCATTAAGCTACAATATTTGTTAGGCTAGGTGTGCCAAGTGGATTTTTGACAGATGGTACTTTCAACTTACAATAGGTGTAATCAGGTTGAAATCCCATTGTAAATTGAGCAGCATCTGTATTTCAATAAAATGTTTATTGGGGTGAGTGTTTGGTGCAGAGGTTAAGTCACTGCTTGGGATGCCTGCGTCCCATATCTGAATGCTTGGTAAGTTCTGGCTTCTCTGCTTCTCATTCCAGTTTCCTGCTAATGGCATCCTGGGAGGCAGCTGATGATCAAGCAAATACCTGGTCTCTGCCACCCACAGAGAGACCTGGATGGAGCTCCAGGCTCCTGGCTTCAACCTGGCTCAGTCTTGGTATTGTGGGCATTTGGGGAGTGAACCAGCAGATGGAAGATTCTCTCTCTTTGCTGTTTAAGTAAGATGACAATAATGAATTAAAGAATGTTTTTATTGGATTTTGACTTATGGTGATAAAGGTTTCTCTCTTCTCCACAGGTGTAAGATTTCACCTATAGTTTTCTTGTGGTATTTTATGGTTTCATTTACTAGGCATCTTAAAATTTTTATTGCATTAAAACAGAAAGTCCCTGTACACACAACTACCTACGTGCAATTGTCCCTACAGCAAGTCTTCTTGGAGGTTTCACGTGCATCACAAAAGTTCAACTGAGACAAACCTGTGCACACCCAGTCACTGCCTAGTGGTCCCCTTCTCTGCGAAGACTCTCCTTCCTCCCCTGCACACACCAGAGCCGGGAGGGGGGGTTCTCTCTGACAGCCCCTCTCCCTTAGACTCCACACTCCACCATCAGTCACTGCGTGGTGTCAGTTTTACCCACTTCACTTCTCACCCTCTCTTCTCTGAGCATCGCCCAAGTTACTATCAGGCCCTGCGGCACTACTGCAAAAACTAGCTTGTCTACTGTGACCACTCTCTGGAATATCTGATGAGCTTTTCAAAATGCAGATCTGATATCACCCCCCTCCCCCTCAGGGCATTCAGCAGTACCCTTGTTGCTTCCCACTGAGTTGGCTTGGATAAAGACCAAAATCTCAAGACGGCAGCATAGCACTGCATCATTTAGTCCTTGTCTGTCACCATTGCTTTTGCCATCTCCCTCGGCCTCAGGACAGGCAGAATGGCCTTTCCTGGGTTCTCCTTTGTGATTTCTCCTTTATCCCATGATCTCTCTTTTGCCCCAGTGCCTTCGCACTTGCTCTGTCTTCTCCGGAATGTCTCCTACTTCCAATTTGGTTTGGCTAACTTCTGTTCAACCTGTGCTTACCGCTTTCTCAGAGCCTCAGATAGAATTATGCCCCTTTCGCATGACCATAGTGATGCTCTCATGGTTCTATAATCCTTCCATCGCCGCATTTTTCATTTTATACATTGTGATGATTCACGTTGTGTGATATTTGCTTAATGTGTGTGCCCGCCACTAAACTGTCAGCTTTACGGGAGCTGTGTGGCTGTCCTGGCCTGCTGTTCCATCCTATGGCTCAGCACCATGGTTGGCATGCAGCAGATATTATAAATGCAAACATTTGTCCAGTGATTGCATTAAGAGCCTGCGTTCTGATCCAGGTTTGCAACTTGCCAGATGTGCTGACTCTGGGGAGACTGCTTCACTTCTCTGAACCCGTTTCTTCTCAGGTAAAATGGGTGTCAATCTGAGGTCCCTAGGAGGTAAGGCTGAAGAGAAAGGCTTTTGTATTACTGCACCGGTGTTAGCTGGTGGAACTGCCGGGAGCACAAACAGGGGAGGGGAGGGAGGAGTGAGCGTGACGCTGAGCTGTTGCACTGAGTGTCGCAGAGACGTTGTTAATAACTCTCTTCAGAGAGGAAGGGACTCTGCTGTGTTACCCCGCAGCCTGAAGTGCTACCTCCCCCTCACCTTGAGGCTCTGCAGGTGGGCACAAGGCGTGCTGCTGTCATACTGCAGGACATGGGGTGGCCCGAGTTCATGCAGAACTGGTTGGTGCAGCATTAGCACCTGATGTGCAGGGCTCTGGTGGGGGTAACGGGAGAGTATCCCTGGCAGACACTCAGCTATCAATAACACACAGCTGCCGTCACCAGGAATTGGTATTTTGGTCTCAAAATATCCTTTTCTTTCTCCCTTTCTTTCTTGGTAAGGTGATTTTGAAGTCTGCATGGAAAATAAGCAAGAAAAATGTTAGGAAAACTAAAGAAAAAAAAGAAAAATGTGTAAAGTTTTAGTAATTTGAAGATTGTGGTACTGGTACGCCTCTAGTCTATGAGCATATATTTTTATGGACAAGACTAATTTTTATTGCAGCATTGTTTATAACAGCAAAGGGCTGGAAACAACCTGCACAGACATCAGCAGGGGGTTTTGGTATGTGTTTGCCCAGCAGATGTGATGCAGCTGGAGAGGCTCTTAGGAACTGACATACACTGCTCTCTAACACCAAGTGGGTGCAAAGAAGTCAAGATACAAAACTATGTAACGTCTGGGCCGGCACTGGGGCATAGAGGGTAAAGCTGCTGCCTGCGGTGCTGGCATCCCATGTGGGCACCGGTTGGAGTTCTTGCTGCTCCACTTCTGATCCAGCTCTCTGCTACGGCCTGAGAAAGCAGTGGAAGATGGCCCAAGTCCTTGGGCCCCTGCACCCACGTGGGAAACCCGGAAGAAGCTCCTGGCTTCAGGTGGACCCAGCTTCAGCCATTGTGGCCAATTGGGCAGTGAACCAGCATATGGAAGACCTTTCTCTGTCTCTCTTTCTCTGCCTCTCTGTAACGCTGCCTTTGAAATAAATAAATAAATCTACAAAAACCCTATATAGTGTGCTATAACTAGTATAAAATGGAAGAAAAGCATATGTTCTTATTTGCTTAAATATGCATTAAAAATCTCTGGGAAGATCTGAGAGGTAATACACGTATTAGTGATTACCTATTTGTGTGTCTGCACATGCTAAGTATTTTGGTATCTGTTACCGCCTAACAAATTAAATTTAGCAGTCTACAGTAAGTGTTCATTTAAAGATTTATATCTGACAAGCAGAATGACAGCGAGACAAAGACCGAGAAAACTCCATCTGCCAGTTCACTCCCCAAATGCCAGCCACAGCCAGGAATAGGCCAGGCGGAAGCCAGGAGCCAGGAACTCACCCATGGGTGGCAGGAACCCAAGTACCTGGGCCATCATCTGCTGTCTCCCAGGTGCATTAGCAAGAAGCTGGATGAGAAAGCAGACAAGCCAGGACTGAAACCAAGCACTCCCATTGGGCATTCGGCATCCTAAGCAGCTGCTTAACCTGCTGTGCCACAACACCTGCCCAACAAATATTTATTGTCTCAGTTTCTGCAGGACAGGAATTTGAGAATGGCCCCACTGGGTGGGACTGGCTCAGCATCTCTCACCAGGTTTCAAGGAAGACATGAGGAAGGACTGGAAGATCTGCTTGAGATGGGTCACTCACAGGGCTGACCATTGCCTAAGGGGGCTTGGATGTCTGTAAGATCTGGCTTTGGGTTTCTCCCAGAGTGAATGGGAGAGGGCAGGAAGGCGAGAAAGTTGCTGCGAAGACTCCTGTGACCCGCTCTGAGAAGTGACACCCAGCCAGCCCGCGCTGCCCACGTTCTATCTGTCCTAAGAAACTCACATGCAAGGGAAGGCGAATCACAGGACCTGTTGGCATATTTGAAAATCTGGCCGTGGGGAACCAGACAGTGCTGGGAGGGACAGCTTCACTATACACATCTTCATGTCCTTTGTCTTGGCGTAGGTATTGGACTCTATTAATCCAGTAGTGATTACATTTCTTTTACAAAGAAACAAATTTGAAGCTATCTGGTAAAGAACTGGAAGAGGATGTGAGTGGGAGAACCTGGTTGAGAAGTTGACCTTTGGGCGGCCAGCAAAGAGGGGAGGACTTGGCACTGACCTTGTGCCCCGGGCCTGCATCGCGTTCTGGGGCTACTGCAGGTCGGGATGCCGGGTTCATGGAGGGGGAAGACCCTAACCAAAGCACAGCTCCAGCCTGTGGTCACTGTTGATCCTAATACTGGATGGCGCACAACAACGTGGTACTTTACACACGCCACCCTTCCGCCCCCGCCCTACCTCTCGCAGTGTGACAGCTAACCTTTAACGTAATTTGCACAAAACTGTGCAGCACGCCAAGAGGATTGAAACCTAGTCATTACGCGGGCAGAGACGTGGCACGAAACCCAACAGGTTTATTGTCTCCATAAAAAGACCGTAAAGGTCGCGCGTGCGGCCGTGCGCGCCACTAGCTGTGCGGGGCACTCCGGCCACCGCGCAGCGCAAGTCGGAGTGGGAGAGGAAAGTTTTGCACATTAAACTAGTCCCTGCGTCCCAGCCCGGCTGCCCCCAGAAGGCGCAGCCGCTCCTCCCCAGGCATCAGGGCGTCCGGGCGCGCCCTCTCGCGCCCCAGCGGCGGCGAGCACAGTCCCTCCTGCCAGTCCAGACGGGGTCCCGGCGGCCCGGGCCCTCCGCGGACCGAGGTGCGGCGGGCACAGCTCGAGGCTCGGCGGGGTCCACCCCTGCGCGGCCTCAGCTCTCCAGACTCGCGCGCGCGCACGCTCGCCGACGCGCTGGCTCCATCCCGGATCGTAAGGGACGAAAGTTGGGGCGAACGTGACGCGGACACGTCACCGGCCCGAGGCCTCAGGCCGGGGCCGGAGGGCACGCGGAAAAAAAGGCCGGCACCCGAAGCCGGGGAGCCGGTGGGCGGCGGCGGCAGCCGATCCCATCCGCTGCTTCCGGCGCCTTCCGGGCCCTCGCTGCGCCGACTCTGCCACATCCTCCGGTGACGTCAGCCGGCGACGCCATATTGGAAAGGCGCCGCCGCCGCCGCCGCCGCCGCCTCCGCTTCGGAGCTTGGGCAGTTTTAGGGGCCGCGGCCGCAGGCAGGAAAGCGCCCCTCTTTCTCCTCGCCGAAGCTCAGCCTAATTCCCCATGACCGCCCCCGGCCCCGCAGCCGACGGACGTCGCCCCAGCATCCGGATCTAACACGGAAGCCCGGGTCAGGGGCCGCGGGGGGAGGAGGAGGGCGACCCGGTCGGACCCGCGTCCCTCTTCGGCTCGCGCGGCGCTTCGGCCGGAGCCATGACCTCGCTGACCCAGCGCAGCTCGGGCCTGGTGCAGCGGCGCACCGAGGCCTCCCGCAACGCCGCCGACAAGGAGAGGGCGGCGGGCGGCGGCGGCGGCAGCGGCGAGGACGACGCGCAGAGCCGCCGCGACGAGCAGGACGACGACGACAAGGGCGACTCCAAGGAAACCCGGCTGACCCTGATGGAGGAGGTGCTCTTGCTGGGTCTCAAGGACCGAGAGGTGCGGGCGCGGCTGGCGGGGCGGGGGGCGGCGGCGCGGGCCCGGGGCGCCAGGTGGGCTCCAGGTGGGCGCGCGGCTCCCCCCCGGCCCGCGCACCTGCGCTGCTCCCGCCGGAGCCGCGCGCCCGGGAGCACACCCCTGGCCCCCGAGGCGCGGTGGAGTTGGTGGCCCTGCTGCGCGCGGCCCAGGGCTTTCCTGGCCCTCGGCGTTCAGAGTGTTGGATTTCTCCTCCTCTCTTCCTCGCGACGCCCTCCTCGCCTCTCCCTGCGCGTTTAACCGGTGTAGACCTCAGGCGCGATTCCAGCCTGGGGACCACCCGGTTGTGAACAGCCGCACCTGGAACCACCAGCACCCCCAACTTCTCGGGTTATTTTGGACCTGGGAGGGAGGGTCCACAGATCCTGTTTGCTGGGGAATTTTGTTTGTTTTAAAGACGTACTATTTGGAATTAACAATTCGGTGAAATGGTAATGAGGAAAAAAAGTTACGAAGTAAAGTCGACAAAGTTCTCAGGAACCCTACAAAATGACTTTTTAGTTCAACTTGGTTTGGGCGACAGCTTATTTTTTTAGTATCGCTCTAAATTTGATCGGTTCTGACGGTTCTCGAGGTTTTGGCCGTCTTAAGAGCTTTTTTTGTGAGGTGCTGGAGAAGTGAGGGCTTTTGACGTAGGACCTCAAAGCTTTAGGTAGGGTGAAGCTGTGAAAAATATTTGTTTTGTGTTCTGCTTTTGAAAAGGATTGTATTTCACCCCAGTATCCAGAATTTTCACATAAAAAGGTGAAAAAAATGCCAGTGGGTGTGTACGTGTGTGCACACTTCTCATCCTATAGTGAACCTTTCGCTCTGTGTATCATGTATCTATCCATCTACAGATGGGTGTTTTGAAAGCCAGACGCAGGCGTGGGAGCTGAGGCAGGGGAATGGGTGTTCTGTAAGTCATGGCTGTAAGGTGGTCCCTGAAGCGCTTTATCCCGGTGTGGGAACCTCAGACAGCTGTCTTGAGTCAGACGCAAAAGTATCTTGAAGTTTTGTTTTGATTTTCAGAAAGCTTTCCAAATTCACCAAGATAGGCAAAAAAGTTTCATTCTTAAAAAAATCGAAGGTTTAGGGAAACTTAGCAGATGTTACTGTTGGTGGACTCCTGATAAAAGTCGAGAACTACAGCTCACCTTGATGGAAACGCCCAGCGTGTCTACAGTATGTTGTTTTCCCACCGAAAGGGGCCTGGGCCCTGTGTAAGGACTGAGCTGTGCTGACCCGAGCAGGCTGTGTGTGAAACTCTGTTTTGTTCTTGTGATGAAAAAGCGAAGTAGAAGTATCTTAGATTTTAGAAAGTATTCAACTTTTTTTTAAATGCTTTACACTTTGGAATCTTGGTGTTAAGCATTTTTCTTTAGGTCTTTTTGCCTTTGGGACAAAAGTAACACTGTAGACATTTTAGGAAAAAAAAAGGAAAATGAAGAAAACGTATACCTGAGTGGACATTTTGGCTTGTAGTTTTTGAGACTTTTCTGTATGGATAAAACTCGGAAACTAGAACTTCAGAAACAAACACAGTTAGCATTTAGTGCTCTGAGTCACAGCAGTGAGAAGTTACGGTGAGAAAGTACCTTTTTGTTTTTTCAAATATGTATTAGCTCTAAATGTGTATACTGAAACAGGTTAACATGCTGCTTTTCCGTGGCTAGTTTTGATGACGATAACCTGAAGAATTTGTTGAAATGTGATGGTACTTACATAATTTAGACAGTTTGAAGTTCTTTGATGGCAGGTAATTGAAGCCATCTGTGGTGCGTATTTTGCCTCAGGAGGTGCTCGCTATACTTTCCAAGGCCTGGCCAAGGTCCAGATGCTAGCTAATTCTGAGCTGTACTTGCTGACTTCACAGCCACATAGGGAAATCTGCCCCGCCCCCTTTCGTAGGCACCTCCAGGACGTGGAGAGAGAGGGCTGGGATTTTGCTTGCTTTACATTTTGGCTTTGGGGATTAGCCTGTATATTTTTTCTTTTGTCACATTTTAAAGAAAGATTTATTAGAAAGGCAAAGAGATCTTCCATCTGCTGGTTCACTCCCCATATGTCTGCAACATCCAGGGCTGCGCCAGGCCAGAGCTAACAGCTAGGACTCAATGCAGGTCTCCCACGTAGGTGGCAGGAACCCAAGTACTTGGACTGTTCTTGCCTCCCAGGTGCATTAGCAGGAAGCTGAATCTGAAGTGGAGGAGCTGGTGCGCCATCCAGGTTTGGGATGTGGGCGTCCCAAGCAGAGGCTTAACCTTCAGCACATAATGCCTACCCCGTTAGGTTTTTATACACTAGTAACTGTCCCTGTCAACTCAGCCTTCGGGTTGTGGGTTGTAATGCCTGGGACGGTCACCCTCTCCCTCCTGTATCACTTTGTCGAGGGCGCAGGAAGTGCTGTTCTCCTGAGCCAAGGCAATTGTGCTTGTTAGTATTAGGTTTCAATTTACTTATTTCGTTATTTACATATTCCAAACTTTAGCCAAAATATATTGACTGCTTCAGCTTTATTGTTTTAACTTGATATCTATCTCTGTGATTATATGGATACTCTTAAGATATTTAAAAGCAAAACTTTAAATTTGGGCTGGTCATGAATGTTGGAATATATAAGCTAATCTTATCTGAAATCAAAACGAGAGCATTTTAGGTAATTGCTGAGCCATGAAATTGATTTTACTTCGATTTAAAAAAAAAACAAGCCTTACCTTTTTTGGCTTCATGAACATTTTCTGTTGGAGACTAATAAACCTGTGGAAGGTGAGATGAATTTTCACCGACTGGCCACACTGGTTAAACCAGCGCCTAGAGCAAGATAAGGAACCTGCCCAGCTCTCCAGAGGCCCCGCTCGAGCTTTCCAGTCACGGGGAGCCACTAGCTGAAGAACCGAGCATGGGTTTTGTCTAGTTTTTTGCTCTGATTTGTGTGTGGTATTTGTTCGGCGTTGTTTGGGAGATGGGATTTGTTCATTCTTATTCTTTTACCGACTTTAACGTACCTGTCATCTACAGTGTTTAAACAATCACTTTGACATACTTGAATCATGGTCCCGCTTTCCTTTTGCCGAACAGCAGGTTCAGTTCACCAGTAAGCAGGTGGTCTGGCGTCAGCTTACCTGTTAGGGTGAGTCTAAACTTACTGTGATCCTGGATTTTTCTGTTTCTGTGTACACATTTCACATTTTTGCCAGTGGTTTTCCTTGCTGGCTTTTATAAAACACAGGTGCTTAGGCCCTCGGGATCTGATGCTCACTCCGGGCTCCGATCAGTGACAGTGGCATTTAAGGATTCCTTCTTCCTTTTTTTTTTGGTCATTTCAATTTGAAAGACTGAGAGGCTAGAGACCAGAGGTTTCCCACCTTCTGGTTTATTCTCCAGATGTCTGCAACACTCAGGGCTGGGCCAGGCTGAAGCAGCTCAACCCAGGTCTCTTACCTGAGTGGGAAAAAACCAGGTACTTGAGCCATCATCTGTCTCCCAGGATGTGTATTAGCAGGAACCTGAAATTGCAAGCAGAAGCAGGACTTGAAGCCAGGCACTCTAATATGGGGTGGGAGCATCCCAAGTGGTGACTTACGGCTGCTTGCCTCATGCTTGTCCTACTGTGTCACTTTGGGCCCGATATTACTTTCTGTCCCTGCAAATTTCCCCCTTTTATCCCAGCATACCTTTTATGTAACTAGTGAGCAGAGGAAGTGGTATCCTTCAGAGACTACTGTAGGCTTAAAGGGTTTTATGCTCAGAGACTATGCTTGTTCTTGTGTTTATTCCATTTAATCAATATAGTGACCAGTGCCACTGATAGAAGACACCACGCAAATTGATATTTCTTTAATCAAAGTGGGAAAGACTACAATTTATTTCAGTAGCATAGTATAGTATTTAAAGTAATCTAGTGAATCTTAAAGTTTTAAGTATTACAAATATATTTACAAATTGGGTTATTTCTCTTTAAGTCTTGGAACTTCTGGCATATAAGAATGCAACTAGGGTAAGTACAGTACAGGGTGTTACCAAAAAGGATGTTTCTGCTTTATATATTCTTAAGCTTAAACTAGAAATTCTTTCCTTAAACTAGAAAATTGGCATTAAAAAATGCCTTAGATGCTTAAAGTTTTTAGAAATTTGTGAGATAGGCAGAGATTGATCTTCTGCTGATCCATTCCCCAAATGGCCACAACAACTAATGGCCACATCAGTTACATTTGGACTCACCCCAGTCTCCCACATGGGTGGCAGGGGCCCAAGCACTTGGGCCACCTTCTGTCTGCCCAGGCACCTTTAGCAGGAAGCTGGATCAGAAACAGAGCAGCCAGGCCTGGAACCGGTACTGTGATAATGAGATGCTGGCATTTCAGGTAGTGGTTAAACCCACATCTCCAGCCTCATTAACTTATTTTTAAACTTAAAGTGTTGCGTTTGTTTACATATTGTTTGAATGGAGAAGTTCTTTCTCCCTCTCTCCTTTTTATTTTAAGATTTATTTTATTTATTTGAAAGGTGGAGTAAGAGATAGATCTGCTGGTTTGCTTCCCAAATGGCCACAAAGGCCAGGGCTAGCTTCATCCAGGTCTCCCACGTGGGTGCAGGGAACCAGGGACATGGGCCATCTTCCGCTGTTTTCTCAGGCACGTTAACAGGGAGCTGGATCAGAAGTGGGGCTGCCAGCACTGAAGCTGGCTTAACCCTCTCTGCTGTAGTGCTTGCCCCAGCGGGGAAATTTTTAAACTGAAGTCAGTAGATTGGGTTTAGAAATTCTGTGAATGCTACAGTTGTATGTGTTTTCCCGGGGAAATAGGGCAAAGCTTCTTATCAGATTCTCAAAACCTTTAGTGAACCAGAAATGTTAAAAATTACTGAATAGGAGTTGTTTGTTTTAGTTCAAGGTGGTTTTGTCTTCCTGAAAATTGACTGCAAACAATTCCAGATTTCAGGGTTGTAGTGAGTTGGATTTTGAATTATTTGAGATTTGAAAT